AAAGGGTTTTGAATGGACGTGGGAGCCTGAGGACGAGATGAGGGAGCATTACCCGGAGTTATTTGCGGCAGCGTACTTCGAGGGCGAAGTCTAATTCAAGTGGGGAAGAATTATAACCCCCGATTCAAGGTACTTTTCATTTTTACCTTAGTGTGTAAATAATTTGCAAATTTGGTCCTAATGGGTGTGAAGTGTAACTTTGAGGGAAGCGTGTGTATGTTGGGTGTACGTCGTCCGGGGACAAACCCTAATTTTTAGGGTTTGGACCCTATTTAAGCATCATTATGCCCCATAATCCCCTCATTTCTCAGCTTCCATTACCCTTTGAGCCTCATTTCGAAACCCTAACCCCTCTAGAGAAGATTTGACCCTCTTTGTGTGTGTTTTAGTGTATGTTGGTGAGTCTTGAGGAAGAAGAGTCTTGAAGAAGGAACTTTGACCAAGGGAGAGCTTATACATACAAATTCCACTCATTATTTCCAGCTTCATTGAGGTATAAAGCTTGGAACTTGCTCATTGTATGCTTAGATCTAATTCTATGGAGTTTTGTTCACTTTTTACTCCCATGAATGAGATCTAGTGGGATTCTTCCACACCAGAAGTTAGGAATTGCTTCTATTGATGTTTCTGAGGTCCCTAGTCCATAAAGTTAGCATCTTGATGGTTGAGGATCAACCATGCATGTGTTTACGTCCATTTGGTGAAAGTAGGATGCTAAATCTAGGGTTTGAGTTCATTTGAGCAATGCAAAGGCTCCAAGTTAGTAACTTTATGGATTAAGACGTTCCCCAAGGCTTGGATCTAAAGTTAGGATGTCTGGTTGTAAGCATTAAGTGCTTAATGGAAAAAAAATGCTTATTGGGTGCGTACGTTGAGCGTACACATTCGAGTCGCCGATCAAGCAAGCTGCCTATTATGTCAGACATACTTCTGGTACGCGCAACTTATTGGGCCTTGTTACGGGCTTTGTAGTTTAGGTTATATTTAGACTATTAGGGTTTTTGGCCTTGTTGGTCCACTAGCCTTTCTGAATTTGGGTCATTGTTAGGCTTTCTGACTTCTTATATTTGGGCTCATTTTGGGGCTTGGGTGTCCTTAAGGAATTGGGCCACTATTGAGCTTTTAGTTCCATTGAGTTTGGGCCTCGGTTATTGGGCCAAGTAAGGAAAGGGTAAAATGGTTTTTTACCCTGGGTGTTGATCAAATGAACTAGATTCTCGATTATGGTTTATGGCCCAATTATTAATTGGGGTTTTAGTTGATTGATTAGCGTGGGGATTCTTCGGTTCAACAACCCGAGCATCTATTTGACTAACAACAGAATGAGGTGAGTCTGCTCACTATACTATAGGACACTAGGATATGTTATGCGCTTGTAGTCTTTGTGACTCCTATTGTATGTGTTGTATGCATGTGTGTCTGTTTGCTATATGTATGTGGGGTGAAATGGACCCGGTACAGCCTTGTGCTGACATATAAATTGAAATAGACTCAAGGGTGAAATAGACCCGGTAAGGCATTGGGCCGATGCATGAGTTGAAATAGACTCGGGGGTGAAATAGATCCGACCCAACCTTGAGCTGGCAGATATGTATGGTATGCGGTATATTGGGGAACTCACTAACCTTTGTGCTTACGGTTTTCAGTTAATGTTTCAGGTACTTCCGAATCGAAGGGGAAGAGCTCGGGATGATCGCATCGCACACACCATGACTTTTCACTTACTTGACTTTAATGTGTTTTAGATGATTATGAATACATTATGATTTTCCTTTGGTTTTGATAAACACGTTTGGTTGATGTTTTATTTAATATGACAACAAAAATTTTTGGTTTTAAATGTTGGGACGTTACATAAGTAGCCCTTAGACTAAAAGTCAAACCATGTCAAAAAGTCAACAGCCAAGATCAACAGTCAAAGTCAACTCCAGTTGCCTTCCACTTCATGGCCAACCAACGGCCACGTCGTGGTCATTCAACTTAATCCCGATCAAAACCGCTTACCACATCGTGGAAGACATGCTACTACATTGTGGCAGAATCCAGACAACATAATGTCTACCATACCAGTCTATACATCGTTGCAAGCAAGTTGACACACCGTGGAAACTGTACAGAGACAACTTAATGGATTAAGCTCTTAACTCCTAATCCTAAGAGCTCCAAACCCCATATTTGAATCCCTACAAGGTCTTGATAGATAAATTTTCCAAATTTATCCATTAAGACACCCCAATAAGTCGAGATCTCTAATCCAAAATTCTTAATGATTGCATTAAAGGCATAAAAACCGAAATGATTCATGCAAGACCATTTTCCAACCAATACCATGGTCTAGAAGCCAAAATATAAACCCAAAGGCTCTGGAGTACACTTAAGCTCCAAGGACAAGAAGATTGGGACTAAAAAACTCATAAAAGACCTAGAACAAGATCTAGAGAAAGGAGCAAGGTTGAGACTTTATAGTTTATACATCCATAAGGTCTTAAATATGATGAACATGTTGGATCTAAGCTGGAACCAAGCTAACAAACCACAAGATGAGCTTCTCCTTCCTTCAAACTTCATAAAGATGTCTTCACACACTCAAAACACACACAAATATGTTAGGGTTTGGGATGGGGATCGATTTCAGAGGATGGAGGTTGTCAAATGAGGCAACCCTAGGAGTTAGTGCACTTAAATAAGGCACAAACAGGGTTTGCACCAAAATGGCCACTATGTCGTGGCACTACGCAGCTCCGCATTGTTAAACAGACAACTGCCACACCGTAGCGCCTTAGCCACCATGCCGTGGCCCACCCAAAACCTTCACAAATAATAACTAAAATAATTAACTTGAGAATATCATATTACTTATTCCAGAAAACATAGTCCATAATCCATTTTGTCAGTCCGAAAAGTACGATTATCAGATTCCGGACCCAATACCTACCGACCACCTCCAACTCCAGAATAAACATAACTACTTTGGATACGATAAAAAATTATAACGTAGTTAAAATGCCCGTTTATATGATTTAGATTACTTATTTCTTTTTATTATTATTATTAAATGCTTAATTTAGTATTATTATTTTTTTTAAGTAAAAGTTCGTTTGCGCTAGGTGAGACCAAATTACAAAAAGTCGTATCGTTGTTTGAACTCGCCATAGCAGCTGGAATTTGGAAACGAAAGGGAAAGTAGGTTTATCATAAAACCTCGGCAACACACCCCAAAAACCTAATAAGCGACAACAGTCCCACCCACAGGTACCGAGAATGGCGAGCGAAGAGGAAAGCGCAGTTAAGGAGCCTCTGGATCTGATTAGGCTCAGTCTTGATGAGCGTATCTACGTCAAGCTTCGTTCTGATCGCGAACTCCGTGGCAAGCTCCATGTATGCCTCTTTCACTTACACTCCAATTTAATTTTTGCTTCAAACTAATATCTTCCATCTCTGAGCGGATTTGGTTTACACTCAAAGTTAAATTAGGGTTTTGAACTTTTACACTTAGCAGTATTAGAATACTTTCGATTAATCTTTCTTCTGTTATTCCGATTTGAACAGTTTAATTGTCTACCGTGGAAATTCCTCATAGTTGCTTTTGAACCCTAATTTCCCAATTATCCTAATCACTTGTTGAGGATATTGTGAAAATACAAAATTTCTTGTCTTATTGTATAAGATAGAAATAAGCCCTAATTCTGCTGTTTGACATGGGGGTTTGGTCCTCTTAGACTTGTCAAATTCAGCAGTGATTTTGTATTTTTATTTGCATTATCATTTTTGTATGTAGATGTAGCACTTTCTTCCTTGTTTTATTTTTGCTATCTAGAGAGCTTTTTGAATGGTTTGTTTTATTCTTTGACTTTTAGGCTTACGATCAGCATTTGAACATGATTCTTGGTGATGTTGAAGAGATTGTTACAACTGTTGAAATTGATGATGAAACATATGAAGAGATTGTCCGGGTATGTTGTGAATTTTTTTATTTACTTTGAAAAACTGTACCCAATTATAGCAACTGGATAGAATTTTCAAGTGCAATGTCTTAATAAGAAAAAAAAAGCAGAAAGTTTTTTTCAGATTGAAAGGAAAATATGATGCTATGATAAACCAGTTAATAAAAGTATGTTGCTGTTTCTTGCAGAGCACAAGGCGGACTGTTCCATTTCTTTTTGTTAGAGGAGATGGTGTGATATTGGTGTCTCCTCCACTAAGAACTGCTTGAGGTCCTCTACAAATGGTGTCACATATATTTGGTCCTGTGATATCTCTCTCTCTCTCTCATTAGATTTGGGGACATTTGAAAGTTTTTACATTGTAATGTAATTGATGGTGGTTTTTGTGGATGGAAAGAGAATCAACAAACTTTCATTTGTGTTGCTTTAAGGGATGCAAGAAATAGCATTGTACTTTTATTATATTTTGAAAAATCTATCAAATTATGGCATTGAAATTTGCTTTTTATTTGGATAATATTGCAATAACAACTTTGTAATAGGAAAAAAAATGCTAATTATAATTGTGTTTAACCTTTGCTTTAACTATCATCCTTTACTAGATATGTTTGCGGTGTCTTTCGATTGAATGTCGTGTTTTTCATGAATATATTGATTGAAAAAAGTTTGAATATACTTATCACATTGATAATGCTCACATGATCATACAAAATCCTTTATCTTGCTGTTATAAATTTCCGTGTTCTCTTGTTCCATCTCAATCATCTATGTTAAATGATAAAATTGTTGAATTAAGAAGCAGATGCAGATTGTCAAAAAAAAACCTAAAGCTATCCGTGTCGCCTTTAACGATTCTTCCCATTGGCCTAAATCCAAAAACAGACTGTAAGATATCTGTTTTTAGCCCCTAAAAATAAATTCTATTCAGAATGTGTTTTTATTTTATTTTATTATTTCGGTTTTTTCTTTTTTGGCTATTTGTTGTAATACTAAAAAACAAAAACGTATACATGTTAAAATATTAAAACAACATAAAACCACCCAAAAAAATAGTAGAAATAATATCAAAAACAACATAATATATAATTTGGTATGTACAACAGAAATACCTCAAACCGATTAAAAATTACAAAGCAACACAAAGTTTAAAGAATATGCTAATTATTCTAACATCTACACAAACATACAATCATGTTTTCGATGTATATATATTATAAAAAAAATCCAAACCTCATCTCCTTTTTTGTCTTGAAAAACTAGGAGACCCGTAAACCCTGCTTGGAGAAGAGTCTACTGGGCCTCTAAACGAACCATAACCTGGTTTGGGCACTACAACCGGACCAGATTCCAATGGAAGCGACTCACCAAAACATGCTGTGTTGATCTCAGTCCTTTTTAGCTCTAATTGCAGTAGCTCACTGCTACATTGTTGGGCAAGTGCCTAACAACATAAACACAAAAACATAAATCAAATTTACTAAAAACATCCTCGATTTGTTTTGTTTTGTTTTATTACGCAAAACAAAATGCACTGTGTTTTGTGTGCATTTACAATTTTTTGTCCCACCCAAGAAGATGGAATGGAATGGAACAAGGTGTGCAAAAGACGAAAATGCCCTTCAGGCTGGCGTTCATTACACATGACGAGGTTGTTTCTGATTACGAGGAGGGTATTTTCGTCTTTTGCATAGAAAATTAGAGTCTCTTACGATTAGCTCATCTGGAGACACGGTCCCTTGTCTATCATCTGCAATCATATCATCACTTCCACGTGTTACACGGCGACGATGCTTTGGAGTATCATTGGGTTCGGAGGAACTTTCGGTGGCTTTTTCCAATAATACCCCTTGTAGTGATTTCAGAGATTCACTTGCATCCGGACTCAAATACTGGTTTAATATCGTCTCAAAGTATTCAAGCTGCATGCATAACCCATGTCAATTGTCAATATGGATTTTTATAAAAGAAAGAAATACATCCTATTTCTATTACTGCATTGTGATGTGATGTTTTTCTTATTAGGATGTGAGGATAGCTTTCTACTTAAATGGCATTGCTGTAATTGTGTAGGATTTTTGTGGATTTGTAAGAAGAAAAAGAATCATATAATCATAAATTTTACCTCAAGCATAAGCTGGCAGAACCCATTTGCATCCAATGTTCTTACATCCGTGTCTTTATGTTCATGAAAAAGGCTAAGTAATGTGTCAATTAAGCCTTCAATCAGAATCCTAAGTATCTTGTCAAGCAAAGGCTTACAACCAGCAGAAACCTGCAATCAAGTTTTAGGGTTTAGGGTTTAGAGTTTAGGGTTTTCAGGTTTAGGGTAAATACCTCTGCATGTACAGCTACAAGAGTGTGGAGTAACTCAACAGAAGCATCCCTTACACCCTGCAAAGTAAAGTTAAATGTAACATAAGCATAATACTTGGGGGACTAAACATGTAAATATAAGTCAAGTCCTCACTTTCACTGCAGGTGCTCCACCCCAGTGTACTCCAGCATCCAACAAATAGTTGACAGCAGCTGTTCTAACATGATTTGCCTGAGACAAAAAAAAAAAAAAAAGAACCATGGTTTAGTTCCTTATAGCTTAAAGATGATTATACTTAAATAAAATCTATTAATTATTTAATTTAAGACTGATTTGTTGTATATACCTTTGCAATTGTATACTGTGAAAGAACTTTTTCTTCCAGCCCAGAGAAAGACCTAACCAAATCTCCCACATCATTGTCCTCATCATCTTTCTCCCTGAAATATAATTAATTCACCACATAATCATCAAACCTATTTCAATTATATATATGACTTATCAAACCACATCAAACAAAATTAAACGTACCTGGATTGCATCCAGATGTGTTTGTATTTATCATGCATTTCACGAGAAAGATCATCTTTGCAAAATCCTAGGTTACTCAACACCATCAGCAGCTTTTGATGTGGATGTGTAATACTTCCAGGAAGAGGATCAGATGAACTTTCTTCCAGATCATCAACAGGATACCCATTTTGAAAAGATGAATTTTCTTTATTTAATATATTTTGACCAATCTCGCTTCCAATTTGCTCCAAGTAACCTAATAATTTGCATCATATGGTATGGATCCATTATAAGTTAACAGAAAAAATGGAAATAAAAAAGACAGAAATACCCCTCTCCATACCAGCAAAATCAAGCAAACAGTTTAAGAACGAAAGCCTAACGGATTCTTGAGTTTCTTGAAACAGGATAAAAGCATCTTCTGACTTTCTTGCTTCGCTCCCTAAAGACTGCATCATCCTGCAATAATAGCATTTGATTTTAATCTTTTGACTTTTATTGATTTGTTGTTTATTTGTCCATTAATATTATAGCATCTTACTTTCGTTCTTTCTATTATAGAATACTACTTTTTAACTTTTTTTTTTTTTTTTTTATTTCTTAAACTTACATATCTATCTGATCCATTGCTGTGACCATAACTGAACGGAATGCTAAAGGCAAGTGAGAAATTGTGTATAAAGATTTATTTCTCTCAAGAACAGAAACTGGAATCCATGATTCATTTTTTGATATTTCTTCAGTTGAAGCCCTCATCCATGAACTAAGCCTCTGTATGTAAGTTTTTGTAATCTCATACTCAAGTGTCCTCAGAGCTCCAACTGTTACCATTAAAAAAAAATTGTAATTTATACTAAGATCAACACAAAACTTATTCAGAGGGGCAAAAAGGTCAAAACACATACCTGCAACAGATGGTGCTGCTTCTTTTGCTTCAAAGGCTTCACAGGCTTTAGATATATCTATTATTGCATCACTCATAAACGGGCGAAGAATATTCGACTCTTCAAGATCAAGAAACGTGTTGTGAACCTGAAGAATTTTGGTTTAGTTCATTTAATGTTTTACTGTTAGAAAGATTTTATAAAAATAACAAGATTTAACAAAAGAAAATCTACCTTGGATTCATATGCAGATAAGGTATTCTGTATCATTCCAGACACTTCATCAAGAGAATGACTTGAATATTTTTCATCTCCCGTCTTTTCCTCAGTTTTATTGACTTTGGAAGACTGTAAAAGAGAAAAAAAAAAATCAGCATAAACATGAAAAATGAAAAACCTAGTTTACAAAAAAAAAAAAAAATGAAATAATTACCTTTGCAAATTTCCCATTTGAAACAGAAATGGCAACTTTCCAGAAGGCTGGAATATGATGAATAATTACAGCAGTTAATCTTCTTATGTACCTTCCTCTAAGAGCATCAAGTTCTTCAGCACCTGAATCTCTTTGTTGTGAATTTAAATCATTCACACAATCAACATCACCCTGTTTGTAGTACATGAGAAATATACTTTTAACACATAGAAAATATATTATATATCCACAAAATAAATAGATTTTGCTCACAGTTTCATTTAATTCAATCTGGATTTTCCTCCATTTTTCATCAGACAGTGCTTTCTCCCGTAGCTCATTTTGTAAATTCTCTATCCTTGTTTCATGATCATATGTGCACTTTTCAAGCAAACCTCGGATCCTATGATTCTGATATATAATAAAAAAAGAAAACAAACAAAATACAGTTTTTATAAATATGCATATGTAATATGTAATATATAATATGTATTAAGTATCAAGTGTGTCTGTATGTGTATGTATGCATACCTGTACATTCAGATAATGGCGTACAGGATCTGACTCAGGTTCCAGCTCCAATAGAAGCCTCACAACATTTTCAAGCTACAAGAAAAAAAAAATTAAAATTTTAAATTTAAAAGAAGTCTAGAGTTGACCATTGACCTTACATTTGTTAGATCAATCTGTGGATTTTCCATAGACCGATAAAGCATGCTTTTGAACTCGTTCATCACTTTTTCAACTTCCTCAAGAACACGTTTCAATATTCCAACCTGTAAAATAATTAAAAGTAATGACAAATATATTCAATAAATTATTTAGAAAAAGATGTTGAGTTTAGTTAGTGTACATGAGAAGGGAGAACAATTGACTTTGCTTTTCTGTATTCTCTGACTGCCAGGTCATAATCTCCTTTATTAATATTACCACGTATTGCACTTGGTAAATTAAATAAAGTGCGAAATCTCTGAAGCATCCCTTGAACTGACCTAATCTTTTCTGCTTGAGCCTAAAGTTTATTTAAAAAAAAAATTAATAAAAAGAATTCCCAATTTAACGGATTTTAAAAATTCACATCCAAAATATTAAACCTGTCTTTCAAGTAGGGGTGCAAAAGCACGATTAGCCACTGAAGTGACTCCTTGAATAGAACCATATAAATGAGATGTTCCACAACCTTCCGGATCTTCTTCTATTCTTCTCAATTTTGACTCAATATCTGTAGAATATGTATATATGATTCTATATAATACAAGAAATAACAATGTTTTGTATACTAAAGTATTCTGTTACAGGATTGTATTTGTACTTTCAGTGTCTTTTTTATTATTAATGCATCCTATTTTGTAGTTTCAGTTTTTTCTTATTATACTTTGAGAAATCTAATTGCTTTGTATTTGGATAAAATTGCTATAAGAGGATATTATACTATGAATTCATCTACCTAATTATAGCAATGAAAATTGTATTGTATTTTCAAAGTAGAATGCTGCAATAGGAATAAATGAAAGTATGTTGCTATTTTATTTGATGATAAGTTACCATCAATTGTTGTTTTGCAAGAGACAAAGCAATCGAAATTTTCTTTGACCAATTGTTTTCTTTGTTGAGTTCTTCCTTTAAGATCAGTTTTCAATGCCAAAGCACCAGCCTCCAAGTCTGCTGCAGCTGTATCTTGGTGGACCCGACATAGGAATAATTTTGGATCAAAACTTTCAGAGTAATACATCAATTTATCTGTGTGTATTCAATCATATTTGTTAGTATAAAACTATAAAAGCTTATATAAAACTAACTTCTGAATCCATAACTGCAGAAAGAAACAAAAATCAAAATCAAAATTTACCTCGAACATCAGCATCTACTTTGTCAGACTTGGATGGAGAACTTGCTGTATATTCATTAACCAACCTCAATGTTCTGTTGTCTATAACCCTGCCATAAAAAATTAACATAATATCGTGAAGTTTGTTTTTTTTGGGAATGTAAGGGTAAAATGGTCATTTGGAGAGTCATTACCCAAGTCCAAGAGGATCTACAAATTCCATGCCACGGGAGAAAGAGTGTAAATTATTGAGGCCTTTTATAGCAACTGATGGTTTTTTCTCAAACTTTTGAGTTGTTGTTGGAGGTGGTGTTCTTGTCTCCCTCATGTCACGGACCCTTCTGCCAAGCTGTCAAACCATGTAAACTTTAGAAAATTTAATTATTGTTTAAAAAACAAATAAATCCATCATCAGAAATCTATTCTAATGAATGAAACCCGATTTTGTTACCTATATTCTGTATGATACAAATAACAAAGCAATTTACACGTGTATCATACAATCTCTACAGCATTAATATTTTGTTAGCTTGAGATATTGTAATGTAACATACAAGGTTTCATGATGTAATTATATGTATACCTTGATTTATGATATGATTTTTGTAATATAATTACAAAAGCAATATAATATTTGGATTTTGGAAAGTGAGTTATCAATTGTCACATGAGATGCCGGTATTTAAATAATTGAAAATTAAATTACAAATCAATTAGGTCTAAAATATCAGGTATAATAATTAATAGTATCTTTTTATTCCAGATTTTGGAAATTAATTCATGCAAGTACAAAAATAGAAAACAAAGAAAATTAAAAATAAGATTAGCATTGATGCCAAAACAAGAATCTTTGGTAATCAGAAAAACATATTTTGGATGTTATACATCAAAAACCAACAGAGGTGCATTATAACTGTATGATACAAGTTGTTTCACATAATTCAGCTTTTAAAATTATGTTACATATTTTTTATCCAAATAAGTTTATTGAAAACGCTGAAAATAAATGCACTCATTGCGTAAATTAAGTGATCATGATAAATCTTATGGATTAGCTCATGATCCTCCTCAAAGTAAATAATTAGTTGATGTCTACTTGCACCACTATCTGTTTCATTTTAATCCCCTTGATTATGAATAACGCATTTGTGTTTTCAAAAACAATGTATTGAATTTAAAAAAATCCCGAAAATTTAAGATCGAATATAAAGTATATAACACATTACACATATGCATATGGGGTGACCAAAAGCAAGCTAAATATAGTAACCAACAAAAAACGGTTATATTACGAAAATGAAAATTAACTTTATATATAATCGAGAACAAAAAAATGACACTGAAACAAACATAATTGTCTAAATGTACTTAACATGCATTATTTTATGATACATATGTTTTACAACAAAATACTTATCATATTTCCTCATTTAGTGGAAAATACCCAAGGTCAAGCCTAAAGAGAATACCCATAACAAATTAACAACTACTTCATCTATCCACAATTAATTGTTCTTTAAACACTGCATAGACCAAAAAGCTTGTAACTTTTAGCAATAGAAAAGAACTTGCAATTGCTCCCTGAACTTAACTAGATCAGGGTCATACGCATTCCAACCGTTTATAGTTCAAGATCCTGAAACTTAGCATGATTGTCTATAGAAGTTGCACTCCAATGTGAGAAATCAAGGGTGCTTTTTCCATTCTTTAGACATATACCCTATATGCTTAACTACATAATAGCATGATGCTAACTTGAATACATCGTAAAAACAGAAATGATGCCACCACAATTAAAATGATTAATGATAACTTGGAAATCACATGAAAGATCAAATTGATGCATACATACATCCTAGATTTTTATAATCATACATACCTCTGCTTCATCTACTCGCTTCCAAGCATCGGGTTCTTCCCCAACCCAAAGTTTATCATCATCCTTCACACCACCTCTACCTGCACCCTTGGCCCGATTCCTCGACCCGGCCTTCTGATCAGCAACCGAATCTTCATCGCCTGAAGAAATACTAAGCATCTCCACTTCCGATTCATCATCGTCCTCTGTAGCGTTCCGACGATGTTGTGGTTTTGTGGTGGTCACTGGATTAGGGTTTTTAGCAGACCTGTGATTTGACGGCGGTTGAACAAAATTGACTACAGGTTTTGAGGATCGAGACTGAGATGGTCTTGAGTAGTTGACATCTCTCTGAGATTGCTCTTTCAAAGCCATCTGTAACAGGTCGTCATCATCACTGTCGCTCATTTTGGGAACTTAGTATCTCGATTTGAAGTTTGAACTGCTGCGAATTCAGCTAGATTGAATTAAAAAAGTTGGGTGATTTAACAATATCTAGCAGGCACGAACAAAGAAGAAGATATGGATCTCAGTTTGTTGCTCTTCTCGGAAAACCAGGGTGTGACCTTTACAGGATAGACTTCGTCTCTAGTCAGAGCTGTTTCAAAGAAGTTGATTTTTGCCCACATTATTGAAAGAAAATACCATCGCACCCTCGCTATTTTAACATAAGTTAGTTTTCCTTGTACATGTACATGAAAACTACTTGGTTTTTTCTTTTTTCTTTTTTCTTTTTTCTTTTTTAGAATTCTATAAAAAAAATCTTTTTTTTAGAAAAGACAAATATATTATAGAATAAAAGGAACACGACAGCAAGGAGCTAAATCGGTTCCAAAGTTACAAGGAAATGGAAAGAGAAATACAATACAGGAGCATAGTTGTAAGTGCTAATCCTTGTGGAGCCCCAAAGCTCTTCGAGAAGAAGGACCCGATTACTAGTAGACGATGGATCGTTGACATGGTGAATGTTCCACGGAGAAGCTTCTGCCCCGAGGGGTCTAAGGTAGAATTTTCATCTTGCCTTCTGATGGAGCTCGTGATTGGTGGGAGGAGGTTGGACACTCTTTGGGAGCTGGGCAGTGGCAACCATAACCTTGGATGATTTTTTTGCGAGATTCAGAGTAGAGTTCGCATCAGCTATTGAGGTGCAACAGTTGGCGAGAGAGTTTCAGGACCTTCACCAAACTACGGAGACTGTGGCGGAGATCACCGTCAAGTTCCGGAAGAGAACTTTGTTGGTTCCATAGTATGTTGCGGACGAAGAGATGAAGAAGTATCATGATATTCAGTGGGATGACATTCGGGAGTTTGTGAGCATATCCAGTTGCAGGACTTTGGATGACACAATTGCCAGATCCCGAGAAATGGAGACTGATTTGGAGCTTCTGAAGAAGTGGAAGTCAGTTCAGACATAGACAACGGAGGGCTCAACGAAGAAGCCCAAGACTTTTGACGATCTAGAGGCCAGCAGGGTCGGAGCGGTTGCGGCAAGTGCGGATGTAACGTCCCAAAAATATGATCCAAAAATTTCATTTTAATTTAAATAAAACGGTATTCCAAAAACATTATCCATACAACCCAACTGAAAATAAGTATATCAAACATCATAACAATCAGAGTGATATCTCAAAAGCAGAATCCATGTGGTGTGTGCGATGCAGTCAACCGGAGCTCTTCCCCTTGGAACCAGAAGTACCTGATTCATAAACTGAAAATTGTAAGCACAAAGCTTAGTGAGTTCCCCAAGATACCGCATACCAAACATATAACACATAACGGGCCCCGCCCTAAGTCGCATAATGGGCCCCTCCCAATGAGTATAACGAGCCCGCCCTAACTCGCATAACGGGCCCCAGCCAATGAGTATAACGGACCCCGCCCTAACTCGCATAACGGTCCCGCCCACAGACAATTCATACTACATAACAAGTAATAGCATACATGTTAATCGTCGGGCCCGACCTAGTAAGCATAAAATCACATACACATACTAATGTCATACAGACAATGAGTATTCTAACATAATAGATCATGGGTCAGCATTGGTGCCTTCGACCCGCTATACATGGTGAGGAAACTCACCTCGACTGCTGAATCATACTAAAAAATCCCTAGTTGCTGGTCCAACGAATCCCCGAGCTAAACAATACCAAAACAACACCCAATTAACATTTGGGTTCCAATCCATAACCATAAATCCATACTTGGGGTAAAAAGACCATTTTACCTCTAACATAGCTTGTTCCAAGACTAAGGCCCAAACTCACAATCTAAAAGGTCCAAAAGCCCAATAATCAACCAAGGCCTAATTTTCCAAATTGGGCCCAAACCACTTACTTGCACTCAGATGGCCCAATAAGAACTCAAGCACCCAAGCCCAAACTCAAAGCCCAAATGCAAAATCCCACCTGACTAAGTACGTGGAGTGTACTCAGTTGTACGCTAAGCGTACACGCTATTTGGCTTGTACGCTGCACGTACAGACTTGTACGTCCAACGTACTCAGCCATTAAGCCAAATTCTTCATTAAGCTCTTAATGCTTAGTCCCAGAAGTCCAAACCACATGACTGAGTCCTAATAAGTTGTAACATCCCAAAAATACAGGTCAAAATTTTCATTTTTAAATACGTTATTATAAAACCAGCAGTATAATGAAACATCCGTAATATCAGGTCATGTCAAAAACCAAAGTAAAATTCATCAAAACACGTTATCATAGAACAATAGCAGAGTGTAATCCCCAAGGATCTCATGTGCGGAAAACCATAGTGTGATGCGCTGCGATCAAGTCGGCTCCTTTCCTTTGAAAACGAGTACCTGAAACCAAAACTATAAACCTTAAGCACGAAGCTTAGTGAGTTCCCCCATCATACCACATACCATACCATCACATAGCATACATACTGCCAGGCAATTATGGGGTGCCCAACCTACCCGGTCCGGCCATTCTGGGGTGCCGACCTACCCATGTCAAGCCATTCTGGGTGCTGACGAACCCATGTCGAGCCATTCTGGGGTGCTGACCTACCCGAGTCAAGCCGTTCTGGGGTGCTGACCTACCCATCGGTCCTAACAACCGAACCTCGGGGACTATTCCACCCCTACAGCTACTATCACATATATCATAACATAAACATATTATCAGACATATCTGGGGTGTCCGACCTACACTTCGGTCCTAACAACCGACCTTGGGGACTATTCCCTCCTACTACCACTATCGCATTTACATATCATGCTAGCATATAACATATCAGGTAGTAACAAACCTAGATGAATATCACAAAGACAATCATCTAACATACAACTCCTACTGGTGGGCCGACATTGTGGCCGTAGACCCACCGCTACAAGAAGGTAACTCACCTCACACTGCTGAAGTCCCGCAGACACAATCCCACACTGCTGAAGTTCTGCAGACTCACCCCCAGCTGCTGGCTGACAGATTCCCGAACTGTCAACACCAAAATAACACCCAATTAATAATTGGGTTCCACTACATAACCATGAGTACATACTTGGATAATTACTACATTACCCCAAGCTTGGCTTTATTCAAGCCCGAGGCCCAACCCATAGGCCCAAAGTCAATTAGGAAATCAAAGCCCAACACATGGCCTAATTTTCCAAATTGGGCCTAGGCTATACATGGTCTCATTCTAAGGCCCAACATCATATAATCATTAAGGCCCAAACTATGGCCCAATTTTCTAAATTGGGCCCAAACCCCTTACATGGGCCTTACCCTAGGCTCATTAAATTATTCTAGACCATTTGCTTGATCTCGGATAGCCCATTTAATAATGCAATCATCAAGGCCCAATAGAAGGCCCAACAATACACCCATGTGAAATTAGGGTTTCACATAAAATGACGATTAGGGTTAAGTGTTTCTCACTTAACCCATTAAAGACTTAATCCATTAAGGACTTAATCCATTAAGGACTTAATCCATTAAGGACTTAATCCATTAAGGACTTCATTCTTCTAAATAAGTCATATCGTGTGATTGGGCTTAATCACACAATTCCATTCCAATGGCCCAAAAGTGGGTCCCAATAAGTCCAAGCCCATAAATCCAATATTAGGGTTTTCTAAACCCTAATTAGGGTTTCCAACCCCATCTTAGTCTATTAGGCCCAATTGATATGTCTTTTGATCAATTAAGGTTAACTAGACTCATTAAGGTTTCACTAGGCCCATTAGTCATCTGTTTGGGCTTTTAGGTCCATTAAGCTTCATTGGGCCCCTTAGGGTTCATTAAGCCCATTAAGCCTCATTGGGCCCATTAGGGTTTCTTAGCCCCTTGTCCAAACATCCAACGAGTCAAAACACCATCAAAGCACACCGCTACCCAACACGGCGGCCGGTGGCGGCAGCCACCACCCTAAGGTGGTGGTTTGATTTCCCTTTTATTATTCCAATTTTACAATTACAATGAACTCACGAAATAACACATACACACACTATACTAAAGTAAACACACACACCACCGGCGGCACATGGCGGCAGCCACCACCTCACAGTGATGGCTGTGGTGGCTTTTCTCATAAACTTCGGCCATATAATGAGCAAACGACTTCAGAAACACCCTCATCTACGGATCCAATCCCACATCCACCACCTCACGGCGACTTATGGTGGCAGAACACGGTTTCAGGGCTACAACCACCATGGTCAGCCGTCATGGTGGGTTTTTCTCTCGATCTCCGGCTAGGCTAACACGCACACACACAAAACACGCATATCCATCTCGGAATACGCACCAGTCCCGGCCACCCCTACGGTGGCATGAAGCACTCGAACGGAAACAGTGACAAAATGCTCATCGGAACCCCAACAGCGTCGCAACACCTGCAGAAACGGAGAAGGAGAGGAAGAATACGGAAAGTAGGCAGCGGTTATCCGTTATCTGGACGGCAACACTATGATGGAGTGGCGAAGTCCACCGGATCTGCAATAGCGGCAACGATGCCCCACGGGGGGGGGGGGGGGGGAGGGGGGTTTCTTCCGATTCCTCGCTGCCACGGCATCAGATGGGGGGGTCTCCGTCTTCAATGGGGTGGCACAGCGGCGGTGCAACAGAAAATGAGGGAGGTGGTGGTGACCGGAGGTGAAGAGGGGTGTGGTGGCCGGAGGGAGACATAAGGGGGGGGGGGTGACGGCTGCACATGAGGGGCTTAGGGTTAGGGTTCCTTAAGATAAATATATATATACCCGACACCCTTAAAACATATTTCCATAATAACATAAATGGTCCCTCCCCATAGGATTCTTTTCACAGAAAGCCCATATTTTACCTATTTAACCCCGCCTTCTAAGATTCTTTACAATTCAAATCCGAATTTTACGAATCAGCCCCGCCCTCTACAATTTATTCCAAACGAAGTCCTTAAGTTACCAAATGACCCCTCCCTTATCTTTTTCTTTCAAACTAAGTCCCCAACAATTACCACGAATTCGAAAATCTAAAAAAAAATATTTTCTGTTTTTTTTCTGCATCATTATAAATAAAAAACCCAAAAAGATTTTTATTTTTTATTTTCTGCATTTCAAAAAAAGAAGAAAAAGAAGAAAAAAACAAAAAACACATGAGATGAGGACATTCTTGCATTCGATAGCTATGTATAAGTGGAAAATGAAATTCTGAAA